AAGTCCCACACCAAGGCACCTTCCCCTAACAAATCCACCCCCCCCCCCTCCTTTGGAACATCCAGACATCCGCAGCCCCATTATCTCCCGAAAAAAACACTAAAAACCTGGACACCTATTAAAATGCAACCTCCCACCATAATACCACATCTTGACCCACACCAGGTCTTCCCCAAGCACAGATATACCCACCTCAGCTTCCCTCTAAGCCCCCTGAAAACTTTTCCCATCCCCAGTCCCATATTTCCCGGAGTGTCCACTAAAACCCTTAACCCTAATTAAAACATACCCTTCCACCCTGATCCAATACCATAACGACGAATCCCAACAAAATACCTTCTCACCCACCCCTTTACATTCACATACACTCTCCATTTCAGCTAACAGGATAGGCAGCCTACTTGACAGTCTTGAAGAGAGCTAGTTTCACTCCACAACTACCCAAGGAGCTATAGTAACAAGATTTTTCACCAAGTTTAACAGGTTAGGAAGCAAGGTTGCATCAAGGCCTAAGACTATAGTGCTAAAAGACTAGCATAGGACACAGAGGGATACCAAACTAGCGGCTCCAGCATTTCAGGTCATACAGATAGCCTACTAGCTGAGAAGAACCCTATACAGTCAGCCTCCATAGGAAGGTTTCCAGCAGTAAACAGCAGAGAAGTAGGACGGAGCAAAACCATTCGCGACAAAAAACAAGCACCAGTCTAGAACAGGCTAACGTAGGCAGGGGTGCAGATCGGCACTTTTTTTTTTTTTTTTTTTTTTTTTTTTTGAATAGACCCTCTCCGGTGTTAGTGCTGCTGATACGAGCAGTCACCACTAACACCAGGGGGGAGGCTCCATCTATTGGTGGGGAGCATCACCTGCTGGAAAACGGGTCCAGCGTCCCATGTACAAGATATGTCTCATGCATCAAGTGTGTCAAACAAAGTCAGTGATTGTGAGGCCTGCCAGCATTGATTACCCTGCAACACAGGGGATTGACTGAGCAGATATGTCTGGTTATGCCTGAGAATTGAGAACAGTGACTGCAGGGGGAATCCTGTAGTATAGTCTTTTAGGGCCTGGAGAGCGAATGCTGCCTTCTGTATCTCTTCACCCCCGAAAAGGGGGCGCCAAATAAACTGTTGCAGGCTGATGCAATCCTGAAGACTGCTCCTTCGGGAGACTGCTCCTCCAATCCTGCGTTTTGATGCCAATGGTGGACTCCTCCCCAGGGGGCTCCAGGGTGAAGTTCTGCGTGTGACTGCCAATGCATTCAAGATGGCATTTCTGCTAATGACAAGGCATGGGGTGGGAAGGGATCCGGGAAATCCGAGGGGGGGCGTAGTGGGAACGAGGGTTCTATGCTTGTCCAGTCATTAAAAACTAGCCGGTAGTCTCTCATTTCCTCCCCGCATCCCATCTCCTTGATCACCACTCCACTCCACTTTTGCAATCCACCCTTCTCTGTCCCCTCCTATCCAGTCTGTACAGAATGCCATAATCTGTCTTTTAACATCACTAGTTTGCTTTAGAAGATCTAGTTGCGACTTCGTATTCAGCCATCTGTGTGTGAGCTCAAAGTGAACCTGTTGCTGGATTTGTTCTGCGATCGCTAACTCTTCCACCCGTACTTTCTCCATGGCCAGAATGCACATTTGCCACCAGAGTGCCCATATCACTGCCCTCCTTCCTATTATGTACATGTTCTCTACGAAGTTTGTGGCTGCTTCTGCCTGTGGCCAATGACCAGCCAATATGGCTTGCCATGACCAGGGCCAGGGGATGTTGGATTCCAATTTTCGCCGTATGCGGTCCCACCATCTCCATGTGAATTGGGCAATCAGACATTGCATGAAGATATGTTCGATGGTCTCCGCTTTCTTATGGAAGGGGAAGAGGGTCTGGCACCGCTGGCACCATAGGAGCACTAGACCTCTTTGTTCGAGGCTTGTACGGTCTGCCAACCAATCATTGGTTGACAGACAGCGGTGAGCTATCTGCCACTGTAGGGAGGTGATTTTCATAGGTTTATACTTTTGTTCCTTAAACCATTGGATTGGTGACAAAAGGGTACGATCCACGTTCAAGTGCCTAGCCCATCTATCGTTAATTATATCTTTCAGGTACTTTCTTGGTCTGAATATTTTGTATGCTGATTTGACCGTAAGTTGGTGCTGGCTGATGTGGCTTCTCTTGGCGGCTCCCCTCCATTGAGGGGGCTGGCAGGTCCATTCCGCCAGGTCCAGGGCCAGGTCTTGGATAGGTTTGTCTGGCTGGAACACCTCCCTTTGTCCCTTTTCTTCCATAATTTTCACCCGGTACATCGTTACTTTATCCCTCCATTCCCAAGGTGCTTTGTTCCCTTGGAGGGTGCCGGCCGTGGTGATAACGTAATCCTCAACCAGGGTTGTTTGTGGCGACACCGTATGTATCAGAC